TATCCGGCTTCACCGGGGACTTTATCGACGCCGAGGGCACGATAGTCCTCCCCGTGGAAGTCGGTGACGGCCCCCACCATGCCAAAATTGACATGGAGTTCATGGTGGTCAACCTCCAGTGCGCCCACAACCTGATCTTGGGCCGGCCAGCGCTGGAGGACTTGGAGGCCATCATCTCCATGAAGCACCTATGCTTGAAGTTTCCCACCAATGACGGCATCGGCTACGCCAGAGGAAACCAGAGGATAGCCAGAGCTTGTTACCTCAAGCTGACGAGGCCGGCCGAAAGGGAAGGACAGCGGATAGACACCATCACGGCCGCCGTCGCCATGGACGAGGAGAGGCCACATGCGGAGCCGGCCGAGGAGGTCGAGGAAATCCCTCTGGATACCTCCCGGCCGGAGCGGGTTCTCAGGGTCGGAAAGCAACTCCCCTAGGACCAGCGAAACGCCATCCTCCTCGTCCTACGGTCATACGCCGTTGTCTTCGCGTGGGGCCCGGACGATATGCCCAGCATCAGCCGCCAGGTGATCACTCACCGGCTGACTGTCGATCCGGCCTCTGCGCCCGTCAAACAGAAGCGGCGCTACTTGTCCGCTGACAGGCGGGACTTCGTCAAAGGGGAGGTCGCCATGCTCCTATCGATCAAACATATCAAAGAGGTGAAGTACCCAACATGGTTGGCCAACGTCGTCCTCGCACAGAAACCGCCGACGTTCAGAATGTGCGTTGACTACACTGACCTGAACAAGGCGTGCCCCATGGACCCGTTCCCTCTCCCCAACATTGATCAGTTGGTGGACGAGACGGCGGGGTGCGAGTTGATGTCGTTCCTCGACGCTTTCAGAGGGTACCACCAGATCTCCATGCACGAAGATGACGCCGAGAAGACGGCATTCATGACCCCAGAGGGAATATTTTGCTACCTCATCATGGCCTTCGGACTCAAAAACTCCGGCGCCACCTATACTAGGATGGTGGCCAAAATCTTCAGAGTGGTCCTTGGCCGGACGATGGAGGCGTACGTCGACGACATGATCGTCAAGAGCAGGCAGGCCACCTCCCACGCCGACGACCTCCGGGAAATCTTTGAAATCATGAAGGAGTTCAGGCTCCACCTTAACCCCAAGAAGTGCGCCTTCGGCGTCCAGGGTGGCAAGTTCCTTGGCTACATGGTCAGCCGGAGAGGCATCGAGATAAACCCGGAGAAGACGCAGGCTATCATCAACATGGAGCCGCCCCGAAACGTCAAGGAGGTACAACGACTGACGGGGCGCCTGGCGGCCTTGAACCGGTTCCTCTCCAGGTCAGCTGAGAGGGCACTTCCCTTCTCCCAGATCATGCGCAAGGCAAACAGCTTCAAGTGGACGACGGAGTGCCAGGAAGCATTCGACGAATTGAAAAGGTACCTGTCGTCCCCACCCGTACTCTCCAAGCCCAAAGCCGGCGAAACCCTCTTCTTGTACTTAGGGGTGAGCACGTCGGCCATCAGCTCCGTGCTCATCCGTGAGGACGAAGGGGTGCAGAAGGCCATCTTCTACATTAGCAAGACACTCAGGGAGGCCGAGCTCAGGTACTCCCCCATTGAGAAGACGGTGCTGGCCATCGTCCACACCGTGAAGAAGCTGGGGCACTATTTCCAAGCCCACACCGTCCACGTGCTGACCCAGCAGCCTCTCGGCGCGCTCATGAGGAGCCCCACTAGCTCCTCAAGGATGGTGAAATGGGCGATCTTCCTCAGCCAGTTTCAGATTGAGATCAAGCCAAGGCCATCTATCAAAGGGCAAGCCTTGGCCGACTTCGTCATCGAATGCACAGCAAGGGAGACGGCCGTCGCCAGCCCTGGGCCGGAGCCGGACGACACGTGGACCCTGTTCACTGACGGCTCGTCGGCCGCGAAATCATGCGGCGGCGGCGTCGTCCTCATATCCCCTGAAGGATTCAGAGCCTACTATGCCATCCGCTTCAACTTCAGGGTATCCAACAACGAAGCCGAGTATGAGGCCCTCCTCAGCGGTCTCAGACTCGCCGCCGGTCTCAAGGCCAAGCACCTCAGAATCAAGTGCGATTCCAAACTGGTAGTGGGCCAGGTGGAGGGATCGTACGAAGCAAAGGAAGGCCGGATGAAGCAGTACAAACAAGCGGCGGAGGAATTGCTGAAAGCGTTTGAAACCCACGAGATCACTCAGATCCCAAGGGCCGAGAACGCCGAAGCCGACATCCTCTCCAAGCTCAGCTCGGACACCCCGGAGCACATCTCCCAGTTGGCCAAGATCGAGGAGTTGAGCATGTCCAGCATCCATGCCAGCCCCGTCTTGTGCGTCCAACAGCGACCAGAGGACTGGATCTCCGACATCGCCACCTTCATCACGACGGGGGAGTTGCCCCCGGACGAGGAGAGGGCCAAACTCGCCAAACTCAGGGCCCCAAGCTACACCATCGAAGATGGCAAACTCTACAAACGGTCCTACAATGGCACTCTCCTCCGATGCCTGCACCAGGATGAGGCCGATACCGCCATGGAAGAAGTTCACTGTGGCGTCTGCTCCTCGCACCAGGGTCCTTTCAGCATGTCCCGGCGTCTCGTCGTCCAGGGCTTCTTCTGGCCGACGATGGCACGGGACTGCGCTGACCTGGCCAGGAAGTGCACCACATGCCAGGTACTCCAGAAGGCCCATGGTCGGCCAGCTGTCAACTATGCCCCTGTCAGCACCGCAATTCCATTCTCCAGATGGGGGATTGACCTGGTCGGCCCCCTGCCCAGAGCCGCCGGGAATAACCGCTACATCATCGTCGCCGTCGACTACTTCACCAAGTGGGTCGAGGCGGAACCCTTGGCCAGCATCACGGGGGCCAGATGCCAAAGGTTTGTTTACAAAAACATCATCACACGCTTTGGCGTCCCCCAGGAGATCATATCAGACAACGGCACCCAGTTCGAGGCAGCCCCTTTCCAAGAGCTCCTCCGGGAGTTTGAAGTAAAGCATCGTTTCTCCTCCGTCGCCTACCCTCAGGGCAACGGGCAGGTCGAGAACGCCAACAGAACAATCATGGAAGGGTTGAAGAAGAACCTCCAGGCCGCAGGAGGTAGTTGGGTCGACGAGCTCCCCAACATCCTGTGGTGCTACAGGACCACGCCGAGGAGGGCGACAGGTGAAACGCCTTTCGCCCTGTGCTACGGCTTTGAAGCAAAGGCGCCCACGGAAATTGCCATCCCCAGCCGGCGGGTGGAACAATATGAGCCTGACACCAACGAAGAGAATATGAAGATTGACCTACACCTGGTTGATGAGAGGCGTGAGCAAGCTTACGTCCGCGCAGAGAACTACCGGCGTCAAGTAAAATCATACTATGACGCCAAGGTACGTTCCCGGGAATTTCAGGTGGGGGACTACGTCCTCCGCCGAAGGGAAGCAAGCCAGCCGACAGAGGGCGGCAAGCTAGCATTGAAGTACGAAGGGCCCTACATCGTCAGTGCCGTGGTCAAACCCGGCACCTACAAGCTTAAACGCCCGAATGGGTCCAATGTACCACGAACATGGAATGTACATCATCTGGTGAAGTTTTATCAGTAATCCGAAGGAGGTGTAGACGGCGAAGCCCTCACCCCTTAACGGGTTACTGATTGAACGCCACCCTCGGCCTCGAGCCACTTATGAACAAAATCATGTTCTGATTTTTTTAAAGTCAGACATTAGCAGGTGCCCTCGTCGGCCACCTTAGAGCAAAAGGCTCAGGTCTGGCCGACATGGCCCCTTGCATTTGCAGCCTACGAGCGACAAGCTCAGGCACTCCATTGTATTTTGTATCAGCGAAGGGCTCAGGCCTAGCTGAGAGAGCACATCGTCCTGGCCCCGTAAGCCTAGAAGTGAAACGCTCAGGTATGGCCGACGATGTCCCCAGGACGAGGGGCCCGCAAACGGCCCACGTCTTGAAACGGGAAGCTCACCGCGTCGTCCACGCGCCAGATCGCAGGTCGACAGGCCTGAAATCATGGCCGAGGTGACAAAATCCCAAAACTCAGGGATGGGCAACGACAGCCGTTGAAAACCAACCAAAAGTCTAGCCCGCGTCATAAATAGGCGACGGGACCCGCCCTGAGACCACGGACGTTATAAACGAAGTCCGAACCGGCCGAAGGACGAGCACACCCTTCGGCCGAAGCCTGAAAGAAGGATATCCCCCGAGAAAATATATATATATATATATATGTGAGGGAAAAAGAGGGAAGCCGACGGCCGCGCACACTTGCCGGCCTCAAGCAAAGAAAAAATAAAATCCCCACAAATTCAGGCCCATTTTGGCCAAGTACATATCAGTTAAACACAAGTGTGGTACCACTGACAGGCAACATGGACGACACGTCCACACACTACAACGGAACAATCAAGGCCGATACACACGCCTTTAAAACCCTAACCACATCGGTTGGGTGACACGCGAGAGGTGACCTTCATCGGCCAGAGTCCTTTGAGGCACCAACGTTTGGTATGAAACAAAGCATCGCAATCCTGAGGATGACCAGGACGAAGCGGGCACTTATCAAGTAATCAAGAAACAACCTCTACTTGCCACAGCACCTCGGATGGCCGACGCAGGCACTGGAACCATAGCTAGCCGACGAATACAGGACCATCTCCTTGGACAAGCTATTCCTTATCCAGCACCCTCATCGGCCACAAGTCAGACCTTGGCCGGCAGTGGCACCGCGAAGAAGTAAATGCCTAACATTCATACTTAGGAAATTATCTAAGTACTCAAATGGAGGAATTCTAGCCGAAGCGGGTACCAGTATACTACAAAGCCGTTAGCTACCTACACCTTCACATGTGTACTTGTGAAAAATTCAAAGTCCACGAGACTATGGTGAAGGTGCCCTTATCGGCCAGAACATAGGGATACAAGCCGACAACGGCCATGGCCAGATGTATCCAAGGCTTGGACGATAAGGACGCCAACGCTTGGACGGAACGGACACTACGGTCAAGGCTAAAAAGGGAAGCACCTAAAAGGAATCCAAAACACTTAGGATTTTTTTTGAAAAATCCTAAGTGTTACGATGGCAAAGGAACACCGGTCAAGCCGACAAGGCCACCAGGCCGAAAGGAAAGCACCTAAATGGATCCCAAAACACTTAGAATTTTTTTTGAAGAAATTCCTAAGTATTATGAAACTACGTCCAAGCCGATCAAGCCACTAGGCCGTAAAGACAGCAGCTACATGGAACCAAAAACACTTGGGAAATTTTTGATACAAAATCCTAAGTGTTATGACAAAGCAAACAAGCACACAAGGGATTCAAGGCCGAAAAGGACAGCAAAAATTTCTTCAATTGATAAACTTCATTACAATTGGGGGGCACTACGGCCGTTACACCACTTGGCAAAATATTGAAACGCTAATTACAAATGAATAGTCTATCAAGCTTCGGGGGCATCACCATCTGCGGCTGTCTCATCGGCCTCATCAGCTCCCTCTTCGTCCTCAGCTTCTTGGCCGGCAGCGGCGCTGGTGGCATCATCTAAGAAGTCAAATTCAGTGTAGTCCGGCTCGCCGAGGTCGGAGCTTTCTATGGGGGACTCCCGCTCTGACAGCGGAAGCTTGGCCTGCTCTTCGGGATCCTTCATCAGCTTTGGCAGCTTCAGGTTCCGTCTAGCCCATCCAGACGTGTAATTCATAGCCTTCAACGCCCGGGATAGCCGCCGACACAGGAGCCTTTGCATGCGCTCCTGGCCCAGGTTGTAATAAACGGACATCTCCCGGCTGAAATACTCCCGGCCGGCAGGGGAGTTCATCCCCCAATTCTCAAGCTTGGCGGCCACCACTTCGTAGCACCAGGGGAGCCTCTCATCGGCCTTCCACCCCTCCGCCAAGAACTTCTCGACGGCCTCATCGGCAGCCTTCACGACGGCGGCCTCGGCCTCAGCCTTCGCCTTGGCGGCCTCCTCGCTCCGGCGCTTCTCGGCCTCAAGCGCCCTGTGGGACTCCGCGAGCTCCCTTTTGCTCTCTTCGAGTTTGACCAGGGCATCGTCCCTGGCCGCGACGGCTTCATCAGCTTTGGCCTGCAGCGCCTTGGCATCCTCCCGGAGCCGGTCAAGGCAAGCTACCGCCTCGTCGGCCGAGGCAGCCTTCTGCTCCAGCGCTTGCAGGCGGGCTATCTCCCAGTACTGCCTCTTGTGGCTTTCCATAAGCATGAAGGCACTCTGCAGAAGAAAAACAAAGGTCAGGCAAAAAACTCTACATAGACGAAGAGAGACAAAAATATAAGGACAATCACTTACTTGGACGAGGAGATCCATGCTGCCCTCATAAATCTTCGGGTCCTCGAGCTTTTTCAAATGAGCCCGATCTTTGGCCGGCATGGCCTTGGCCAGGACGACGTGGCCGGGGACGAGCTCATTAAACACGCCCCCGCCGACGGGGTACTTTATCACTTTCTGATAGGTGGCACCGGCAAACTCTTTGCCGGCCCTCTGCGTCCGTGGTTCCTGGACGAGAGGAAGCGCTGGGGCGGCATCATCAGCAACAGTAAGGTCCACGACGGGACCACCATCGCCCACGCTGGGGACAGTAAGCATACCGGCCTCACTAGCCGGAGAAGGGGAAGGAGCCCTCTTCGTCTTCTTAGAGACGCTCACGCCGGCCTCGGTCAACTTTTTCTGGCCGTCAGTGGCCGGTCTCTTTTTCTTGGACAGGGCAGGCTTTGGGGCCGCGTCAGCAGTAGCCCCGCTCCCACCAGCAGCGGCACGTCGGGCCGCCTCGGCCGCCTTAGCAGCCAGCTCCTCGGCCGCCTTGGCCTTGGCAACGGCCATTATGGAGCGTCGGTCCATGACAAAGTCTACAAAGAAAAAACAAACAGATTAGTAAGGCAAAGGACAAAACGTAAAGACAGAAAGCCGAAGAAAAATTACCATCGGCCTCAGCAGGAATGCCCAAATACGGGCCATCGGCCTCCTCAAAGGTGGTGGTCATCCTCGGCCAGAGTTGGAGGTCATCCTCCTTATCTCCATACAAGTGATATCTGAAGAAGCCGAGGGCCGTCATATTGTATTCAGTGACGTAATCTTTCACGCTCCTCGGCCCCCCTTCCAGGAAAGCCTCCACCTGAGCGTCCAAAATAGAGCTCTTCGGCGGGTCATGAAGATTGAACCTCCCGGTATGGCCGAGGGAGGGGAACTCGGTGCCACTCTCACCAATGGACACAAACACGAACTTGCTCTTCCACCCATGAATGGACGTAGGCAAATCCGTGAAGCTCCTCTTCCTCGGCAGCTGTTGAAGAGTAGCATAGGCCGCACAGTTCTTGTGGCTTCCTCGGCCGATCTGGTACAAGTTCATGAATAAGGCCGTGGTCGGCCTGTAGCCCAACTCCTCACACCGAAGCAAGAAGCCCACTATCAAGGAATAACTGTTCGGCGTCAGCAAGGCCGGAGGAAGCCCCACCATGTCCAGATACTCAGTGACGAAAGGGTGAAGGGGGAACCTCAACCCCTTAGCAAAACTCATCGGGTATACTCCGAAGTATCCCGGTGGCGGAAGTAGAACATGGTCCGTCGGCCTGGGTGCCCTAACCCGCCCGAACGGCCCCACGTACATCTGGGCGACAAGATAGTCGGCCGCACTGCTCTCCGGCTTGATCAGGAATATGTTGGTGAAAGAAGGACACTCATCGTTCCAAAACAAGTTAAGGAAACAACGGCCTCCCCGCCCACAGCGAGGAACAGGTAACGGCCAAAGCACAGAACAGGATCACCAAAGAGGAAACAACGCCAACGCCGCAACGGCTAACAGCCTGGAAATGCCCGCGTCGGCAAAAAGCAACAAAGCACAGAAATCTACTCTCCTTCACTTCGTCTACGTCTCAGCTTAGAGAGTGGGGGACTCCTGATGGAGTATATGGGTCTGAGCCCCAGGACCCACATACTCGGAAGAACAGAAAGCACAAGACAACAGAGTGGCGCCCTCGTCGGCCAAGACGCCCCCGTCGGCCGAGAAGAAGCCAACTCAGATTACGGTCCTGAACCCAAGGAACTCGGGTGCCCTCGTCGGCCGTGCCCTCGTCGGCCGTGCCCTCGTCGGCCACGCCCTCGTCGGCCACGAAGACCTCCCAGAAAAGGATTCTATACTTACTCATTTGTACAGCCCATTAGAGGCTTTGTATTCGGCCCAGTAGCGGTCCAGTTGTAAATGGGCCTCCCAAGCCCAAGGCTTGGGAGCGCAATCCTAATTTTCTCTATAAATACTCCCCTTGGGAGTAGTTATAGGGGTTACGAATTCATTCTATTGAAGCATATTATAGCACTTCTCTCTCTAGCTCTCACTTCTCTCTAGAATCTAGGAGATATACTCTATCAAGTGATTACGTTCAAGGGGTGATTGCCTATTTTAATGTTAAAAAAATTGCCTTAAATGAGACTTAAACATAGTCTAAATTCCACAATAGGATTTTAAGTTTATTATTCCCTAAATAGGACTAAAGATTACATTTCTACCCCTCATTGTAAGGAATAATTGTAATTAGATTTTGATGATGCTATATTAATTAGGACTTTAGAGTACCCCTTCTTTAGATTTAATGTATTAGAAATTTTCCTTGTAAAGTTTCTTAGAATAGTCAACTGACAGAAGACCTCCAGAACAGAAGACCTTCTGATAGAAGACCCTCTGATAGGCTTTGTCCTAACAGAGGACCTTTGGCTCTCTACTTCAGAACAGAAGACCTCTGGGTCTCTGTTAGCCTTTACACGGACAGAAACCCCCCTGGTTCTCTGTTGAGCATTTCGTCAACAGAAACCCTCAAGACTCTCTGATAGCCTTTTCCAACAGAAGTGCTCAAAACCTTCTCTGATTGACTCTCTGCTGAAGACACCAGAAGGCCGGACACTTAGAGAATTTTACCAAGCCGGTAAACCATCTCAAGACTCCTTCAACGGCTAGGAGTCTTGAACGGAAAAGCTACAGTACGCGCATTAAATTCACATTTAATGCCTCCCGTACTCTGTAGAGTAAATGCAGATGATTGGCCGCAATGTGAGGATAACACTATCCCAAAATAGTAACCCGTCAACTTTGCTGGGGTCTACCGGTCAAGTCAACTGCTCACACATTTAATGCAGTTGTCCTTCTCCTCCAACGAGAAGACAACCTCAGTATAAAAGATACATTACGAAGAACAACAAACAGCTTTGCTACAATAGTGCGAATACAACAACATTCAAACAACTAAAACGCACAAGCCTCCTTGAGATCAAATCCTTATCATCCTCTACAAGAGAAGGCAGGCGTTGGAAAGATTCTTACTTCCAACTCAAGCAAAGTTCTATTTGTTCTTCAACACTTCAAGTACTTCATCTACAAATATTTTGTAACGAAGCTAGTTGGAAACCACTGTTCTCTCAAGAACTCTTCTCTAACGAGAAGGACGTCCAAGTAACTCGAGCGTTGAAATGGTGATACTTCTGGGAAGCTCAGCGAAAGGACCAGTCTTAAAGGAAGCCAGGAAGTGCATCCCAGGAGACATCTACACTTGAAGAAGACGTGGAGAGCTTCTTAAGTGCTAGGACTAAGGCGTTGTAAACGGACGTTTTTACAAGCTTAGTGGAACAGTGGATTAGAGGAACGAGTTGTTCCTTGAACCACTATAAAAATCCCCGGTGTCATTTACTTACTGCACTTAGTTATCGCTTTTTGTTTAAACTGATTAACTCCAAAGACTTGGTCACTGTGTTCAGCAGAACGTGTCTTGTGAGTTAACAGAAGGCCTACTGCCTTCGCTTCTCTAAGGCTAATCTGACAGAATCCCTACCAGAACCACATCCGCTGCCAATCTGTTCTGCCAACAGAACATGCTATTCTGTTAAATCTGGTAATTAGCTTGAAAAAGTTAAAAACCAATACAGTCTATTCACCCCCCCTCTAGACTGTATCCAGTACAACCGGGACCAACACTCATTAACCTAACCGACTCATATCCTCAGCAATCTGCAAATAACCGATCGCC